TTTCAAAATGCAAGTGTAACGGCTAGATATAGCTTCTATCCAAAATGAAATTTTAAAAATACCTACTGTAGCCATCACCAAAATCCAAAGACTTAAATTACAAGAAAAAAAGAGAGATAGCATGTCCCACTAACATTTGATACAATGTATCAATCCGTATATGCATGAGCATAAACGTCACTCTGAATAACAATACTTGGAATCTCATGAAACACGGCATCAAAATTAATATCAATCCTTATTTGGAGGTATTACACAAGACGGATGGGACACTGTACATTGGAAACGTTGTTTAGGTTGGTAATGAAAATGCGGGATTTCAGAATGGATTCAGGGATCATTCTGCAAAGTAAACAAAAGTACCACACACAAAATCCACAGTGTCACTACTAAAATCATGTAGCTCACCGAACACATCCATGTTTCATCAATCACGGCATAAGACTCTAAACTAAGTGTGAATGGGCAGAAGGAATATTATTCAGCCCTGATGCACACTCTGTTCCAAATAGATCTCCTACCTAAATACAACTTATCCCATTTGACCCCATCTCATTATCAGGTTAAGCAACAATTGCGTCTTACCAGACCTGGATGGACCTATGATAATTGTTGATAGAATTTGCTTGCGCTGGATGACGCTTGACTGGTTCTTGCTTTCGTGTATCAATGATATCCAAATTGTACAAATATAATGAATAATATGAACTTATATCTTATATTGTTTTCGATGCAGTGAATTTACAACAATAACAACATGGAATAAAAAGCGTGCACTTACAGGCAAATGTATAAAATGTTGTACAAAAATTAAAATTTATCTTCAATAATACAGGTGGAGATATCGCTGCTTCACTGGGAAAATTATTTGGAGCTCCATGGGCTTAAGGAAGCACGAGAAAGCATCTACCTGGAAATAATTTGTTCGGTCCTGGAACCCGACTTGATATCCGGCTTGCCGAACGAGATCAATCAAGACCTAGAGAGTATCTAATAAATGCGATAGGTCAAGCATGACACGTTCATGACGTTGCGTTTAAAAATAAAGATTTACAATAACGATATAATGAAGACGTGAAGTTGATTCACTCCTTAAATTCTGTAAAAAAAAAAATAAATCTTTCAGAGAAAACTTGCTAGCTTTCTCATAAAATCTGCGATGAAAGCTAAACTGGTTCTAGGGACCGGTAATTAATCAACCAATTATTTTTATAATAACGGAATCGATTTATTATAGCCAAGAGGACATTGGAGGACAAGAGCAGCGATTAGTCAACTAACTAATGCGGCAGATGTCGCACGTTATGTTGCTGAAGATTGGTTAACACGACAGGCAATATGGTAAATTTATCTACCACCACCTAAAAAGATTCAGTACATTCATTTGGATTTCAGCACTCCCTGTAAAGTTCATCAGTCAAGACATTTTGTTTTTATCTTATGATACCATTAAAACTGATAGACGTCAGCCACGCACACATGATTATGCGTTGGCTGTCGTTGACGTTGCAAGTAGAAATAAGGAAGCAGAGCCTGAATTGAAACCGAGTGGGTCTTCTCCGTTTGGATTAAATGAATAACACAAACACAGTGATGAAAGATTGGAATTTATAAAATGAAATACTATTATATATATATATATATATATATATATATATATATATATATATATATATATATATATATATATATATATATCCGTGTGTGTGTGTGTGTGAATATAAAACATGTATACTGTTTAATAATAAAGATTTTAAAAAGGCTTCTGTTTTGCAGGGATTAAATCGACACACTCGACGAGAATATATTCTACTTTACACAGATAAAATAAAGTCTAGGTTTCAGCATTGACATGAGAATTTACGAATCTGACGTTTCCGAACTTTATCAATGTCTCTAAAAAGGGTCTGATAGCTTACTCAAGCAACATTGCATTTATGAATATTTTAATTGATCAACAATTAAACGAACCTAACTTTGCAAGGATTGAAAGAAAAAAATTATATTGAATTAATTAACATCTGAACAAATATAAGATTGTTATTATTTAACCAATTCTGCACATAATATTTCTTACAAAAATTTCCAAATAAATGAGAAACAAATTTCAAAATAGATGAGACTTTGTCTAAAATTATACGTTTCAGTTGGTGTAGCCAATTTGTCAGCATTTATCGTATTCAACAAAACGGGATATAATTCGGTATATGGAGTGCTCGGGATATGGCTTGAGTTATATCCCTTATTTTGTCTTATTTGAGGATGTTAGTGGTATCGAAACTTATTCAAATTTTAGTTGATATCGGCGTAGAATAATTTATTTGCTACATATGCTTATTTTATGTGGAGTAATACAATAATGTGGAGTAGTACAATCCTATGTACTACTCAAATGAAATAACTTCAGAGGACAAATTTATAATTGTATGTTACGAATTTCAGTAATTGGCCGAATTTCGAAAACACTCCGACAAGGTAAAAATTAATGGAGACGGTAAGAATTTATGAAGCTCTTTCGATACAGATATTAATATAGCTTTTGATTTACCTGAAAATGTATTGATCCACCTTAAACCGAAACTAATTTGAAACGTTGAAATTTCAACTGCAAAATTCAGCAGAAAATCAGTTTTGCTCCATTAATAGCCTTTAAGATTGCTTAAAAAAAAACAATAAACAAAACACCTTTTGATAATTCATTTACGATTTTCAAATATTGCAATACACTGATCGGAGAGTCAATGACCGAGAAATATCCCATGGGCAAGCTGGTTATAATCAATAGTTAACATGCGTGACAATCCAGATTAGGACCACCTTTTATGGTAAATTATTTATGTGGGCTGAGCATGATTTATTTAATATAAGCTCTGCTTTCACGTTTACAAAAGATGAAGATTTTAAAAAGACTTCTGTTTTGCAGGGATTAAATCGACACACTCGACGAGAATGTATTCTACTGTACACAGATAAATTAAAGTCTAGGTTTCAGCATTGACATGAGAATTTACGACTCTGACGTTTCCGAACTTTATCAAAGTTTCAGAAAATGCTCTGATAGCTAACTCTAGCAACCTTGCATTTATGAATATTTTAATTGATCAACAATTAAACGAACCAAACCTTGAAAGGATTGGAAAAAATATATACTGCAGTATTTATCATCTGAACAAATATAAGATTGTTATTATTTGACCAATTCTGCACATCATACATCTTACAAAAATTTCCAAATAAGCAAGAAACAAATTTCAAAATAGATGAGACTTTGTCTAAATTTATACGTTTCACTTTGGTGTAGCCAATTTGTCAGCATATGTCGTAATCAATAAAACGGAATATAATTCAGTTTATGTAGTCCTCAATATGTGGCTTGAGTTATGTCCCTTATTTTGTTCTGGCTTGAGGATTTTAGTGGCATCGAAACTTGTTCGAATTTTAGTTGATATCGGCGTAGAATAATTTATTTGATACAAATGCTTATTTTATGTGGCTGGCAAGGAGCACAGTCCCAGTTCAAAATTCGCTTTACTTTAACAAATTTTACACATTTTTTCACACGAGTTTATCAGGCTTTGTTTTACCTACTTTTCAATCTACGATTATTTTGCTATAATTTTATATCTTGAATATTCTCTGACTGTTGCATGCTAATAAACAAACATGTACGATTTCACAGTATTAGGGGATCGTGCCTAGGGAAGGCTACCCGCCTCTTCTGCATAAGGGGTTCTAGCACCCGCTCCTTGTGCGTAAGGGGTTCACAGTATTAGGGGATCGTGCCTAGGGAAAGTCACCCGCTCCTTGTGCGTAAGTGGTTCACAGTATTAGGAGTCGTGCCTAGGGAAAGTCACCCGCTCCTTGTGCGTAAGGGGTTCACAGTATTAGGAGTCGTGCCTAGGGAAAGTCACCCGCTCCTTGTGCGTAAGGGGTTCACAGTATTAGGGGATCGTGCCTAGGGAAAGTCACCCGCTCCTTGTGCGTAAGGGGTTCACAGTATTAGGAGTCGTGCCTAAGGAAAGTCACCCGCTCCTTGTGCGTAAGGGGTTCACAGTATTAGGAGTCGTGCCTAGGGAAAGTCACCCGCTCCTTGTGTGTAAGGGGTTCACAGTATTAGGAGTCGTGCCTAGGGAAAGTCACCCGCTCCTTGTGTGTAAGGGGTTCACAGTATTAGGAGTCGTGCCTAGGGAAAGTCATCCGCTCCTTGTGCATAAGGGGTTCTAGCAGCTGGACTGATACTATGTATCTGCGGCCTCCTTTCCATGCTGGGCCATATCTAATTTTTATTTCATTTGTTTTTATGCCGGAGAGTTATTTCTCTTCATTCAGTTAACGGTAAGATAAATACTATGTACTACTCAAATGAAATAACTTCAGAGGACAAATTTATAATTGTATGTTACGAATTTCAGTAATTGGCCGAATTTCGAAAACACTCCGACAAGGTAAAAATTAATGGAGACGGTAAGAATTTATGAAGCTCTTTCGATACAGATATTAATATAGCTTTTGATTTACCTGATAATGTATAGATACACTTTTATATTATCATTTTAGCTTGTTTTTAAACACATGCTCACGTTGCCATTGAAGAAGAAAAGTAATCAAAAATCTATTACAGCGATCGCCTGTATATATCAAGCTCAAGAATATAAGGGTCATATAAATCAATGCTGATCTACACGTATTAAGGTCAGTTTCCAATAATAGGCAGGTTATACAAGCCACATATGATGATTTATACACAGTTTTGACTCTGTCTTTACATAATTCTTTGTAACGCATGAACGTAAAAGAAAATTATCTTTAGAAGAATGTTTGTAATTGGAGCTCCATTTCTGTTGTCAGAAAGAAAATACTCAGAATGTTAAAATAAATCAGTAGTGAATGTTATCAAAACAAACTTCTCTTATACGATACGTCCATATTTTATAAATTCCATAACCCTAGAGCCCAAAGTCCTTATAGCCTCAAAAACGGGAAATCCAAAAATAAATCGGGGCGTGGCCCTATGGCCTAATGGTTACAGCGTCCGCCTCGGATGCAGGAGGCCGCGGGTTAGAACCACAGCCGAGTCATGCCAAAGATTTGTAAAACTGGCGCTAGTAGTTGCCAAGCTTGGAGCTCAAGAAGTTAGTGTTAGGATTAATCTTCCTGGAGTCAGGATAATGTGACTGGGTGGGGCACCATGCTGAATGTCTGCTGCATGATGCTCCCGTGCTAGACATCATTATAATTGGTACACTGCAAACAAAGTAGCAATATAAATGAAAAATTGTTAAAGTTACGTTAAAAATGCAAAACACACATACACAAACACAAACAAACATGATAAATTGGCCTAAAGGGTTACCGTGGGAGACGTCACGACACCACTATCACCACTAACACTGGGACCAAATGGCAACAATGTTACAAGTAAATGACCTCCATTAACCTCTATTTTAACATAGCTTTATATCTTTTGATACGTTCCATGGCTGATTATAGATCTGTCACTTACCACGTCACGTAGTAATGGTTAACGGAGTACCTCCAATTGACAAATAAAGCCAATTCTGAACCGCACGAATCCAAGAGTAGTTATGGTGAACAGAGCGTATCTGATTGAAAAATATAGATGGACACCCTTTTCGCATTTACTACAATCCTGCCCATCCTGCGGTTTACAGAGTTGTTCAAAATATTTTAAAGCTGCTAAAATCAATTTAAGACTGTATGCTTACCCATTCGACGAAAGTTTTCAGAAGTCAGGTCAAACTGGATGGGATCGATAATGATTTGCAAGCCGATTTAGCGAATAATTGGTAGTTGGTAGCGTTCAGCTGGGGATACAAATATTTTTTTGTGTTTTCAAAGTATTTTTTCTTTTGACTTCTAAAAACGTTTCGAGTTAGTCATAGCTTTAAAACTGGTTATAAAACAAAGTAGTCATCACCATCTACGATGCCAAGCAGACAAAGATCCGACTTTAGGAACCAAGTGTTTTAACAAAAACTTAAAAGAGAAATGACTATTTTGTTACCACCAAAAATCCCACAATGAAAGCATTTGTCAATAAAGGTTTTTTAAAACTTTAAAATAAGATAAGTGTAAAATAAGATAAGTGAAAATATTTGGCATATAAACATCAACACACTCTACATTACCTCGACGTGTTATCGCGTCTCGTCATATTTTACAACCAATCGTAGTATCAGATGTCCATACGACAAAGTGCTCCACGAAAACGAAGTGATGGAGTTCGTTCAATTTAAACGTCACCTACTGCCCACAATAAACATGGACTGTTAAAGACTTGAGATTAAATTTGCATTAGTCAACACAAGCACACCTTCGATAAAAATTGTGTAGGTAACAGAACAACTGAATTGTTTCATGCCGCTGGGCGAGAACGTGGCCGTGATTCTCCCTTTGATACATTGGATGACATGAACAGTGAAGCGTAAAAAGGAAATTTACTTACCTGAGTTACAACAAGTGACCTAGTGGGGCCCCGAGTGGCCGAATGGTCTAAAAGCTCTGTCCGTTACGGATCACTGCCATCTCACCTCTGTCTGCGTGAGTTCGAGTCTAGGATTCGGCGAATGTGGATATGTGAGAAAGCTTGCCAGTAGCTTCTCGTGGGTCGGTGGTTCTTTCCGGTGATTTCCCGGTTTATTCCTCCACCATTAATACTGGCCCTCATGAATAGCCTATCGTGTGCTGAAAAATGGCGATAAGCCCAACAACAACAACAACAACAACAACAACAACAACAACAAGTGACCAAACAGGAACATGACATGTACGATATCGAAAGCCTTCTCGACTGAAGAACACTTAAAGTTGACAAACGCCAACTCAAAGAAGTGAAATTATTTTAGAAAGGATATCCGTCTAGTTTAAATTCTAGGATTGAAGCTTCACAAGTAATAGTCTATAAAACTACTTAACCATCATGACACCAAATATGTCATCTATCTCCCCTTCTCAGAGTTCCACTCTTCAAGAACTACAAAAGAACCTTTGACATGGTGTGGTTTGTATCATCCTTTTCTACCACATCTTTCTTGGTCTCATCTGAGCAGCCATCGCCAGTTTTAGTTTGCTAAAGCCAGTCTCAAAATCTAGCGATGGTTTACCATGGTTTTTCATTTGCAAATCGGAGACAAAAAACTGTGGACCATTTTACTCATAATTATTATAGGTTATCTTCTTCCCAGTCCTTCCTCAAAATATTCGACAGGCGGTATCAACGGTAGCCTTGCGACCAATGTCAAAACAACAACAGCAGCAGCTCTATTTTAGAACATTAAGAGAAAAAAATAATTCTTTTTAGACATCGAAGACCAGAACCATCAAATTATTAATAACAAATTTTATTAAACTGTGGATATGTCTCTCAGCAACACAGTATGTTGTTTCACGGTCAAAGGTCAAAGTACGTCAGGGAATACAATGGGATCAATGGGAAGTAGCTTAGTTAAAAATAATTCATTACAGGCAGGTTTAATATCAAACAAAGATCAAAACATTTTGGTTGTCAAAATTCTAAACTAACAGTTTCAAGAGCAACTATTGAGATCATACGTACTAGAGTTCTCTTGCGACAGAGCACGGACATGAGTGTTGGTTCATCGATTTACTTGACAGACATTTCAAAGGAAAAGTCAGGTTCGGATTGTTGACTCATTATTACCTGTGAATAAAGAACGAATACCTGGGAACCACAATCTCCTCTGACGCACAGTTCGTACACCGCTTCTAAAAGTCCTGTGATATGTGCTAAAGATGGACTTGCCCATCGCAAAACTAAAGACAGCCAAGCCCAAGTCATCAACACAAACGAAAATTGTCGGTTATCGGTCTGATTTCTCAACGTTCATGGTGTGGATTATTCGATAACTATCGATTTGGAAGAAATGTGTGAGATTACAATGAATATATGTCGTGTGTGGACATAATTGCGTGCATTTTTCTTATCAACGCAGTCTTGGATTTCCCTAAAATCTTTTTGTGACTTGTTTTTGTCGTAATTGGCTGCGAAACAATAAAATAGAAGACGGTTTTGTGAACATTAATGCTATCTCTAGCGTCCATCTATGACAAAATGATACTGCCTATGGTAATTGGAAGTCACAACGTTGTCAGCATTGTTCTTTACATATAGATGTTTAGAAACTGCACAAAACGTTTCGGATAGTGTGTATGGGGTGTTGAATAGTATAGATGGTGTATTGGACAGTATGTTTGTGTGATTGAATACGTTCTTTTACATCATATTCCTTTTCGTCTGAGAGTAGGTTTTTGAATTTTTACATACCACACGGGGCTTTTTGGATAGTTTGTATAGTAGATAGCTACTCCCATGTTAAATTTCTTGAAGACCCTTTTCCTATGTTAAATTCATTTAACATTTAACTTGTTTTAAATTCACATGGACCTTTATCAGTTTTTGGAATGTAATAAAAATGCTGACGATGAATGTACATGTGGTGTGTTTAAATGATAATCACAAATTGGAATGTATAATCAGTGTAGTTGATTGTAATTAAAAAGTATGTGCTACATTGTAATCAAACAAATGTAGTTGGATAGTATCTAAAATATTTAACATTACCATTCCCCTTAACCCTATAAACACTTTTGACACCATAAGCACTTTGACACCATAAACACTTTTGACACCAAAAGCACTTCGATACCATAAACACTTTTGACACCATAAGCACTTCGACACCATAAACACTTTTGACACCATAAACACTTTTGACCCAATTATACCATTCCCATATTAAACCTATGGACCAATTTAACCTAGGATTTCCCATGCGTACCTACAGTGGAACATATTGATGTAAATTTGTTCTTGCAAATTTAAATTCATGTCACCACAGTCAATGTCAACCACTTGCAACACTGTTACCGTTTGTTTCCCAACCCCTGAAGAGCCCTTTCCAAGTTTTATCAATATTATCATGTCACCACAGTCAATGTCAACCACTTGCAACACTGTTACCGTTTGTTTCCCAACCCCTGAAGAGCCCTTTCCAAGTTAAACCTGCAGACACATACCGCCTCTATATGACTCCCAAGAGCCAGCCACATTTTAACCTACGGTCTAATGTTAATTCCCGTATCAGCCACAGCACTCACATATCATATTCTTGTAAAATAATAAATAAGAAGAATATTTAATGCGGAAGATTACAGCAAAGTAGCACTATCTTCACGCTATTCTAATTATATCGTCTAAACTTTCCACTACTCACTCGCTCCTAAATACATGCAAACATTTCCCCGCCCACCAAGTAAAATCCCTAGATGACACAAGGGTCCAAAAGCCTAAACCGGTGTGCACGTCCGAATTTTCCATACAAACGGTATGAAACTACATATCAAAGAAAGACGTGTTCCCAAGCTAAACCGTTAGGATATATAAGGAAATTGTGCAACATTACGCATGCATATATGAATTGGGGATAAAAATATAACTCTCCTCAACTTTCTAAAAGTGCACGCATAAAAATCTAAATTTTGAGGAACAACATGAACTTTTTAAAACCATACGCAGAAGTACGCTCAAGGGTTTCAGTGTCCTCTGAATTGTCCCATTCCCTTAAATGCAATTGTGTGTGTGTTTGTTTGTGTGTGTGTATGTATGTATGTATGTATGTATGTATGTATGTATGTATGTATGTATGTATGTATGTATGTATGTATGTATGTATGTATGTATGTATGTATGTATGTATGTATGTATGTATGTATGTATGTATGTATGTATGTGTGTGTGCTTTGTTGTTGTTTTTATTGTTGGGTTATTTTTCTTTTGGTTTTCGGCGGAGGGAGTGTTTTTGTGCTTGATTACGGATTTGGTGTTGTAGGTGTGGCTTGTGTTTTTGCTTTTGTTTTCGTTTATGTTTTGTTTGGGGTCCTGGGGGGCTAGATGGCAGCCTCCATTTAGAGTAGCTTTTAATATTCCTCATCTAGAAAACAAATAGCTGCAGTTTCTTCTGAATGTTCATTCCACACAAGCAAGTAAAAGTCCACTAAACCTCATTATCAATTATTATTATTATTATTATTATTATTATTATT